GAGTGGGAGGAGCATTCCCATGGAGGGAAAGTCTCCAGGAATGTTTGCTGGGCCTGTGGATAATTCCATCCCACCTCTGGATCCATGAGATCCGGCCAGGGGGATCCTCCAGCAGTGCCCCCACTGCCCGAGGCACCGAACCCACCCACACAGGGGAATCCCCACAGCATTCCCAGAATCCCTACAAATTCTGCTGAACTGCCTCTGAGCATCAGAATTACAGGAGAAAGGATTTTTTCCTTGTTTCCACCTGCCCAAGGAGTTGGAGGGAATCAAAAATAGAAGGGAAGGCTCTGCCCTCCAGAAAAGCCCCGAATTCAGGGAGAGAGGAAAATTCTTCTCATCAAATACAAAAATACACTTTCCATGGAATATCCCACTGCTGAGAGGGGTGAGGACACCAGGGAATTCCGGGAATTCTGTACAAGTCCAGCTGGGAGCTGGGACACCACAAAGCCCTTCCTGCATGAGGTAAGAGAGGTTCAGGTGAGCGAAGCCAGCGGGGAGGAGCCAAATTGCTCCTTTGAAATCTGTTTGTCCCAAAGTTCAGCCCTAAACACACCTGGAAAACTCCTGGAGCTTCCCAGAGGGGAAAACCCAGGATCAAAAATCTCATTCTGAGCCCAAAGCCAACAGCATTCCTGACAGAGCCAGAAATGTTATCCAGGAAAAAGGGAAGGATCTGAGCTGGGGAACGCTGGAGCTGCTCCAGCTCGACAAGGGCACCGATCCTGCCACTGCCACACACCGCTAATTAACACAGCTAATTGTTCATTAACACCGCCCCACTCCACAGATAATTCCGGGCTGGGAATGCCGGGATTGCAGGGTGGCACATTCCTGTCCCCCCGGGAGCAGAGCACAGGGAGATGGGCACAGCTGGGATACACCTGGATACACCTGGATACACCTGGATGCACCTGGATACACCTTGAGCCCTTCACTAAGCACCACACTCTGGTCTTTCCAATAGATCAATTCCATTTTTTCTGATTAATTCCGGTTTTTCCAATAGATCAATTCCATCTTTTCTGATTAATTCCGGTTTTTCCAACAGATCAATTCCATTTTTTCCAATAGATCAATTCTATTTTTTTTCTGATGAATTCCGGGTTTTCCAATAGATCAATTCCATTTTTTTCTGATCAATTCCATTTTTTCCAATCGATCAATTCCCAGCCCACACAGAGGGGTCAGAAAGGTCCCCTGAGGGTGAGAGGGATCCCCAAGGAGTTGGGATTTCCCCTGGCTCAGGGATGAGCTCCAAGGATTGCCACTGATAAATCAGGATTTTAACACCAGGGTGGGATGGCACCGAGAAAAGAAAGTGATTGAATTGATATTATTGATATTTCCTTCAGATATGTCCTCACTCCAACCCCTACACAGGGAACTGGGAAGCCCAAGCCCTTTGGAACAGACACTGAGGCCAACACTGGGTTTTTTTCTCTTTTGTTTTTTTGGGGGGTTTTTTGGGGTTTTTTTTTGTTTTATTTTGTTTTTGCTTTTGTGGGGTTTTTTTTGTGTGTGGTTTTTTGGTGTGGTTTTTGGGGATTTTTTTTGTAATTTTTTCCCCTTGTTTTTCAATCCGTGCCCCCCAGGGTTTCCATTCCCCGCCCACCTGCAGCTCTGCACAGAGATGTTTGTGCTGGAGCCTCGGGATTCCATCCCAGGGGTACCCTGGGACACCTGCAGGGTTTCCCTGAGGATCCCACCCATCGCCCGGGGCTGTGCCCGCTCCGCCCCAGAGGGCAGGAATGGTGGTTCAGGGAAGGTTCTGGCTGAGGGAAGGGCTGGAACATTCCCTGCTGGCTGCGCTGCGGGGACCCCAGGCCTGGCCCCCGCAGGGAATTGGGGACACCCGGACTGAGGGGCACAGAGCCCCCAGGAACGCCCCAGCCCAGCCCAGCCCAGCCCAGCCCAGCTGCCACGGGACCACAGCTCCCCAAAATGGGTCTGGGGCTCCCAGCCCTGCCCTCTGCACCCAGCGCCAGCGAGGAGGGAGGGAGGGATGGATGATGTGACACGGGGTGGGTGGGGACACCCACGGGGTGGATGGGGACACCCACGGGGTGGATGGGGACACCCACGGGGTGGGTGGGGACACCCACGGGGTGGATGGGGACACCCACGGGCTGTCCCCACCCCACATGCCAGCCAGGGACAGCGTGCCACGCGTCAGGAGCTGCCTGGCACCGGCCACAGGGATTCTGGAGGTGGGTAACTGTGCCCAGGAGCCCCCTGCCCTCCCCTGCCAGGGGATCACGGCGTCACTGCATGGAACATTCCAGAACCCTCCCACACGAACATGGCCTTGCTTTTGCTCCTGGCCCTGCAGCTGTGAGGAGATAAAGCCCAGCTCCTCGTGTGGATAAACACCCGTGGAGTGACACAGACCTGTGCCCACCCACAGCCCCAGGGCACCCTGTGGAAAGGGGGGATCCAGGCACGGGGCAGGAGGGAAGCAGGAGCAGGACTTGGGGAGAGCCTCCATGGCTGGGACAGGAGCCAAGCAGGGCCAGGGGATGACAGGGCACAGGGAATTCCATCCTCAGGAGATCAGGGAAGCCCTTCCCTGGAGCACAGAGAGAAGGAAAAGCCCAAGGGGGACACTCCACACCCTCTGTGCCTCTGCAGGGACAGGGAGCTCTGCCTTGGAAGGATTTCCCACTGCTGGTTTCTCCACAAAAGCCCTGGAGCCAGGCCAGGAGCTGCCTCTGGCTCTGTCCAGAGCTGCATCAGCCCCTGGCTGGTGGGAGGAACAGCCCAGCCCTGGAGGGATCATCCACAGGCACAGAACCCATGGAATTTGTGCATCTCCACAGGTGTGACAAACCCCAGTGATGTGTCTCAGCACTAAGTAATAAATTAACCACTAATGAGCCCCAGTAACGAGCTGTGTTCGGATCTGGATATGCCCAAGGATATTATTATTATAATTATGATTATAATAATTATTATTATTAAAGCTCTCACTGGCGCTCAGGGACTCGAAGCCCAAGCTGGAATTGCAGTGGAAGGCACGGACAGCTCCTCTGGGTTATCCCCCCCATCCCTGCCCAGGTGGAACCACTGCTCCCAGAGCTCAGCACCCCGGGGTGGGGCCCTGTCCTGTCCCTCAGGCCACTGAGGGGCCCCTGCTGTGACCCCAGCCCAGGCCAGGCCACCCAGCTGTGCCTGCCAAGGACATTCCCCTCGTCCCCCAACCCCACACGGGTCTGGGCACAGCTGCCCCGGGCTGGAAGAGCACCCTGGCACCCCTGGGATCCAGCCAGGCTGTACCAGCACATGGATCCTTCAGCTGCCATGGAATCAGCTCTGGGGCACAAGAATGCCCCAAGGGACGCCGATGTCCAGCACAACTCTAGCACCAATCCTTGGAAAATTAAGACTTCAAAGTGTCTCCACACAGGACCTCAAAGCCACTGATTCTGTCTGAGAGTCCTGGCTGGAGTGGGATTGATCCCTGAACACCACGTGGGGGAAGCAAAGCACAAAGTGAGATTCTTTTCCCTCCCAGTGCAATAAACTTTAAATTATTCACTTTAAATTACACGGAGCGAGTGAAAACTTCCCGAACAAGAGCCCCGTGCCAGCTGATTCCCAAGGAATTGGGTCTGGGGGACAGCCCAGCCCTGCCAGCAGCACGGAGTGGCACAGCCCAGTGACCTCCAGCACCCAGTGATGTGCAGTGCCCGGTTCTGGGGTCCAGCCCCTTCTCCCTACGAGCAGAAGGCTGCGGGCACACCGGGCTGTGGGAGCACAGAGCCCACTCCCCTCACGGCCCTGCCAGCCCAGGGCAGGATTCCCCGAGGGATTTCAGGGAGCCACAGCCTGGCCGGGCTGGGAACATCCCAAAGCATTCCTGTGTGCCAGGCTCCAGCCTTTGCTCCAAAGGGAGCGTTTTCCAGGATTCCACAAGCCAGGGGGCTCCAGCTCAGCTGCCCCAGTGCCCCTCCTGTGCCCCCAGGCTGGGCTGGCAGTGAGCTCAGAGCCTGGCACCAGCACGGCTTTCCTGGGAGCAGCCTGGGCACATCCCACATCACAAACCCCAGCTCCAGGTGCTCCCCTCACCTGGCCCTGCTCTCCCACGCCCCTGAGGGACCTGGCTGTCCCCTCCCACGGCCACAGCCGTGTCCCTTCACACGCTGTCATCACCAGGTACAAAGTGCAAAAGTGTTGCTGTTCCTGCATCCATTAAAAACTTTTAAAAACAGAACAAAACGAACAGAAAAAAGGATTTCCATCATCATTTGCAAATACATTAATTCAGTCTCCAAAGAGCCAGCAAAGCCCCGGTCACCTCCTCGTGGGCCAACACGGACACTGGCAGGAGAGGCACGTCCGAGGCAGCCCAGCCCCTGCCCTGGGCAGCACGAGTCCATGGGGAGCCCGGGGCAGGGCTGCAGTGCAGGGACATCCCGTGCCCTGGCCGCCTGGGGCTCGGGGTCACTGCTGGCTCCGGCGGGGACAACCCCGGCCTCGGCCCTGCCAACCCCATCCAAGCCCTCCCTGCTCCCTCCCACGGAAGTGTTGGCATTCCTCCTCTCCTGTGAAATGTTTCTGGTAAGGCTTTATTGCTCTACAAAGCGGTGCAAAGGCTGCCCGAGGACAGCTCCATCAGGAACTTTGGTCACACGGCTGCGGGATTTGTGCGCTGGCCCCGGCCGCCGCTGGACCTGCTACCTTCCCAAGAGAAGCTGAATACTGTGTGCAATAACACTGGGAAAACAGCACTGAACCCCAAATCCAAAACAAAACAGGGCCACGGGGAAGGGGACAACTGAAATCGGGCAGAAGGCTTGGGAAGAGCCCGTCATTCCCGTGAGGACTGAACTCAATGCTACATTTCGACAATGCCGAGTGTCTTTCCCAACGGATCCGTGCTGTTGGATCTGCGTGTCTGGTCCTGAACGCCAGCTCGCTCTCATCAATGCAGCATTTATTAAAAAATAAAATTAAAATGAAAAAAAAAAAAAAATAATAAAGAATTTGACAAATTGCATCACCAGGGAGCAGCCTGGCCTGGCTCACACACGTCCCGGGGCGGCGGCGGCGGCGTCAAGCGGGGCCGTTCAATGTGGCTTCGGTGCAGGGCAAGGCCTCGTCACCCCTGCGGGGACACCGGGGAGCGGCTTCAGGGACACGGGACACACCGAGCACAGCTGCCCTCGCCCCTCCCGGGACAGCCCCTCCCTCTGGCTGTGTTCTGTCTGCCCAGTTCCCAGCTCCCTATGGAGAAACTCCCTCAGCTCCTCATGGAATATTCAAATCAACCTGGAATCAGGGAATGGCCTGGGTGGGAAGAGACCTTAAAGCTGCCCAGTTCCAGCCCCGTCAAGGTGATCAGAGGGATGGGGCAGGCACCTCTGCTATGAGGGCAGACTGAGAGTTGGGAATGCTCGACCAGGAGAGCTCCGAGCCCCTGGCAGGGCCTGGAGGGGCTCCAGGAGAGCTGCACAGGGACTGGGGACAAGGAGGGACAGCACACAGGGAATGGCTCC